TCAGAAAGTAAGGACTCCTGGAATAGAGAGACACCAACATTATTCCAATTGTCTTGATAGAAATAAGTACAATAGGTGCATATGCGCCATACACGGCTACGATATGTCATTATCCCTTTGTAGCCTTGTTTTAAAAAAAATTGGCAGTGAAAACCTCACGTTTTAGATCGAAAGGATTTTATAAAGACCAACCTTGCTCCGTCAAAAACGTTGGTCATCTTCCGCATCATTCTACTTAATGGGCTTCATGTGTGTAACGCAATCACATACCATCGATCGCCCTACAGTGGCGAGAAATGGTAGCATGGATAAGTGTTCAAAACGGTGGAGCGGGCTAAAGTACATACTCTTGGCATGAAAACCACCTCTAAAGGTAACATTTTGTGTAATTGTAGTCTGGGCAATTCCTTCTGATGTAAAAAGGTTTTTTTTATTGTTGGGTTGGTATTAGTTGCGAGTATAGCCGTTGTAACAACATAGACCAGCAATTTGCAGATGCTAGACTATCGAAAACTGTCCAGATTGTCTTGACTCTTTGGCTTCAGGAGAAAATTATATGTATGTTGAAAATGAAGGAGACCTGTTTCGAAGTTTTTATTTGATATAAGAGGGAATTCGAGTGTTTTGGTAATGTTTTTTTTAGTATGACGTGCAAGTCACGTTGGTCATGTGACGCGCTTCTTGAGCTCAAATACGCTCATATAAATCGCTCTAAAAATTCGGAGTTTAAGTAGCCAAAGTTTTATTGCAGTTTCTAAAAGAAGAAACCTTGTTCTTGACAATGGTTATTGTATCAGTTTATGGAGCCATGTAACAATGGCCGATTTTAGTCGCCAAAGTTGAGCTATGTTTTGATGGGTGAAGTTTTACTTGAATTAGAAAACTAGCAAAAAAATTGTTTTTTAAGGAATCTTGGAATAAAAAAATACTTTAAAACCTTTAAAAAACACCTTTTGTTTTAGAATTATTATGTGGTTTCCGAAATGCTGGCGAAATATATTTGTTCGGCCGTTATCTTGAGGTGCCCTATTTCACCGGGAAAATACGATTATGAACCCCCAAAACACAAAATGCCACCGTTTTCCCAAAATAATTTTGTTTCGACATTTCTGATATTTTTCCGTAACTAAGGCCATTCATTCCTATGTTCTGGCAAAGTTTGAAAAAATTTCAGTTCTTTTATTTTCAACAAAAGTTTTACAGGCGACCACTCTTAAAATACTCAAAGGTACTTTTTGGCTAAAACTATTGTTTGTTTTAGTTAAAGAGCAAGCTGTGAAACCGTTATTTCCTTAGAGATATTTTTAGCAAAAATTGGATTTGTTTTGCATTCATGGAGTGTCTTCTTTTCCCAAAATTTTTAAATTGCATGAAAACAGTATATAAACAACTGCGTTTAAGTTGTTTTAAAACAATTGGTTCATACTTGCATTCATGAAGACATGGAACGCGTGAGAAGTTTTCAAACGACACCTCGAGCAACTTCTCTGTGACTGTCTAAACTTCTCGTATGTCGGCCATGAGCGCGCGCTAAAGTATGAATCAATTGTTAATTAAAGTGACAGTATGGATAGCTAGTGGATACCCTGTATAACACATAGAGATATCAGATTTCATGAAAAGGAATTGATTGAATCAACGGTTTTTGATATCTCTGCTTCGATAATCTTGTGGAGTGATGGTTTTGAATCTGTTCATAGGTGCACAGCTGTCTTGAGGTTGCGACGTTTGAGAGTCGTGTAGCCGAACTAAAACCGTGTGTACATGATCTAGAAATGTATACAAGCGAGCAGCTACAGAGCCATGCGGTCACAGCTGCTTGGGTAAATCAATCAAAATCTTTGTTTCACTGCACAGAGTGGGTTAACTTATCTCATGTTATGACTATATTTGGTCATGGATGATTGACATCAGGTTCGTTGGCCTGACAATTTTGGGTGGATGGCACTGTTAGCACGCATTTTTTTCACAGTATTTTGTTTGTTATTACAACGCAATATGAGTTAAGTACAAGTAGGAATACCACTGCCACCACGGTACACACCATCAAAGACAAAATTTCGTTTGGAATTTGTCAGTTAAGTGTGTGGCGTTCTCTGAAGTGAAGAGAACTTGAATGACCTTCATAACGATCAGGTGGCTTTTATATTAAAGGGTAACACGACAGACTCTGTGTCAGAGTGTACATGAATTAGCCAGATCAAGGAATCTAGAAAGCATTGTAAATAACAGAGCTGCCACTTGTCAAGCCTTTATGTCAAGTATCGTTTAAAAGTTAGAACCTTCTAAAAAATTTGCAGAGAAAGCTCGCAAAATTAGATCCAAATCCCAGTTCTGATAACTCGAACGCTTGTTCGTGGGATTCCATCATTCACGTATACCGTAGGGTATACCCCCAGATACCTTTAGAAGATAACAGCACAAATCTGACATATGTTGAAGGGCCAAATTTTGTTTTCCTAACACACATTTCAGTTGTCTTTGACTTCTTCTTTCTCTATTACATCTAGGAATTTTCTAACGTTAACGTTTGAAGCATACCTTTGGAGAGCGTAGATTTCTTTCAAGCCTACGAAATGTGCCGTTCAAAGTAGGTAAAGTGTCCTCGTATATCCAACGTTTTATGAACACGACACAGATATCAATTCTGCACTTATAAAGTCATTTCAATCTGGTTCTGAGATTACTTTCATTTATAAGACCGCTGCATCTGCATTGCTGGAATCCCTTCAGAAGAAAACGGAGCTGCTAAGAATATTCCTAAATGTGAGTGGTAACTTGACCTTCGCAGAGAAAAATTTCAATATTTCACAAGTATTTTACTATTTTTTTACAGTACGGTTAGCTTAGGATCGATTCATCTTTTATTTTTTCTCGTAAGATTTAATCATTTTATTTGCCTATTGTTTATTTTAAGGTGACATGTCGTGAAAATCCAAAGTGTACAAAGAAACATGAAGTAAGTTAAAACTTGATTGGCTGGCAAGTCAATCAGGCTAACGATTAATTTTGTCTTTAAGTGGGTCAGTCAATTCGATAGTACGTACGTAATTCGGTCAGTAAGTTCGGATATATGTACTCTGTGATGCTCTGGAAGGTGTCCTCCTGATCATTTAACTGTTTGTTGAAAACCTTAACTTTGAAAGGCTTTTCTCCAGTTTGTACCTTGTGGGGTAAGAACACTAATGACCTTAAACAACAATTGTAAACGATAGGATGCATTCCATGTCATTTGTGAGATTTACTTTGTATAGTACCATACGCACTAGATTTCAAAATTTGTCTACTCTGCCAAAAATCTTGTTAAGTTTTATCTCCGCTTAATTATAAATTTGGTAATTATATATGCAGCTGAAATATTTTATAACCGCAGGATCTATTACCTTGAAATCGAACACCTTTATTTCGATTCCGTTCGCATGAAAGCGCACGGTACATATGTTTACATTCAGCCGTCAATTCTTGAGAGAAAATGTTGCCTCGTTTTTTAATCGTGTCGTTTTTGGGGAAATCACTCTCGAGGGTTTTATGGACTAGTTCCAAGGGAATCGATCGTGATGCCATGCGATTTCAGGCATTGGGCGCCATTTTGGACTGGCTGGCCGGCTGACTTAGCTATGTGGCACAAATAGCCTCGATCTCACGTGCAAATGTTTTCTTGGCCGCCTTGAGCTGAAGCCACCGATGTTTTTTTTCTCTGCGCAATCAGTAAAATAAAAAAAAACTTTTACTAGAGATCGAAAGCACCATATCAATTTTTAATTATCACTAGTTATAGATTTTTTCGGTCCTTCATGTTGGTTTTAGTCTTCGCCAACCTTCATCGTTGTCCTCATAGCTCGATTACTGTAGAGAGTGAGCTATTGTAGTATATTTCCCAAGTTTCTGTTCTGCAGCAATTTCCACTGATGACGGATATAAGCGATCCTCACAGCTATGAATACTACTGAATGAGAAGTTTGATAAGACCTGAAAAAAATTCAGGCCCGTAGGTCATGGTTCAAATTCCGTACGGGCCTGAATTTTTTCTAGGTCTTATTTCAACTACTCGTTCATTAGTGTTCATAGCTGCAAGGATCGCTTATATCCGTTTCTTCCCTGCAGCGCACATATATGATTTTGACATATTTCCAATCATTATTCCACTAATGAGTTATAACCAAAATGTTAAACATAAATTTATAGCGCTTCGGATGGGGACGCCAAGTTGATGCCCATGTAAGGGATACCAACATGGCGGCCATGAAGTAATGCAAACATTTGCTGTCTTGTTTCGTTTCTAAAGTAATTAGTAATCGATTTTGAAATTGCTAACATTCATCTAAACACATTTACTAATCTTTCTTGTGCTCAGGGAATAAAATGTCACACGATAGCTCATATTTTACAGCTTTCCTGTGTGGAGCGAAGAAAAACCGAAATCAGAAATGGCTCTATTTTCAAAATAGAGAACTGCACGATGCTGAAACCTTTCTGAAGGCTTCAGGGGTCTTTCGTCTTTCGGAGTTAAACCATAATATCCCCTCTTAATTTGGACTTTTATGGTGGAAGACAAGTAAAAACCAAGGGTTGTGTTAGATTTATGCTTCGAAAACAACTTTTGAGTTTGTGTTGAATGTTTAAGTCAATACTAAGACCCCTGAGTTGTTCAGTGGATAAGCAGTTCTTCTCCGTCTTGACCTTAAATTTTTGGAGAGTCTTGGTACTTATCGGTTCCACCTTAAAAGCCTTTTATTTTTACCACTGTGTTAAAATTCAAGAAAAAGGCATCTATATTTTCGAAATTTTAATATCAGGAAATGAAACGTAAGCCGTGACAGAAAATTTGAAATGTCTGCGGGCAGTCCCCGTCCACCGGCATTTGCAAAACTGTAAGTACAACATCAGGGCAATGTCGTTTGAACAGTTCGATTTGTTTCATAAACTTGCTTTTGTTTTAACATCAAAATATCACAACAGCATTTTAACTGATGTTTCAAGCTAGCTAAAACAATGATTTTCCTGTATGGCCTAGATAAGTTAGGCGTAACTGCCATGATACGTGTTTCTTAGTTCTTCGAAACTTTGTAAACGAACCCCCAGCAATCACTGGGCATGTCCTCGGCTGCATAGAAAGGTGAAGACTCTTTGGACATGCATATCCAATCGCCAGCTTTCTCCAGCTCTGTCATCATTTCTTGATAGTGTTTTAATTCCTCTTTCTTTATGTTGAAACAGAGGACGCCATCTACAAAGAAATTCACATAGGAATTTAGTGTGTTTCTGGTAAGGTTTTATCATGGGAAATTTCCATCCTTTTTCCTATATTTGTCCATGTATTTATCAGATTTAACTCACAGAGTTGGTTAACCCTTTCACTCCTTGGATCTCTTTTATGTCTGTCATATAATTCCTATGATGTTAGTTAGGAGAATTTGGTATTGGACTAACCAATAATACCCTAATTGACATATTCTTTGTTTTCCAATTACTTTTCTGCTTGAAATCATATTGATACTGTAAGGAGAAATTCTATCTTGGTCACTCATGGGAGTTAAAGGGTTAACCTACAAACTGTAATATCATCCAAAGAGAAGTTGAAGAGACCAGCTTGGGGGCGTGCTCTTGATACATCAAGAAATTCTTTAAACGAATTTGCAAAGAGAAGATTTGACCCCAGAAGAAGATTTACGGGTCAGATTCCGGATGTTTAGGGAATTTATCAAAAAGGGTGTTACGTGAGTCTTCACTACCAGATCTATCTCACGGTTTGAGTTTTCAAAAAACTTTTGATAGGATTTTTCACGTCTTGTAAAATCCTGATATGTCTTCAATCTCAAATGATCTTTTTTTTTTTCATTTTTTCTTAAAATATTATTATTTCCTCAAAGGTTTATCAAAGTATGATGTTTAAAGGGTAGTGTCCGTTTTTGTTGTAGTTGTTTCTTTTTTTTACAGCGTTTGAAAGATTAAAAACATTGTGGGCAAATTTCTTCAACCACAGATGCTTTGAAACTGCGACTAAATGATTCTTTAGCGTCAAGTCCAACAATTAGCCACGGAACACACTCCCCGAAGACATCCGTGCCTGTGCCTCGGTAAACTCCTGCGAAAGACCCACCAGTTTGAATCATTCTTATCATCTCCACGAAAGCAGATGAGCCGATAAGCCCTGGAATGAGCGCCCCACCACAAATCAAAGCATCGAATTGCCCAGATTCAATCTGAGGTATCGGCTGCCCGTTCAAAGACGTGCAGATGAACTCAGTATAGACCTCTTTCTTCTTTGCTTCTTTTAACATCTCAGCTGAGATGTCCAAAGCACATAGGTTGGTGTATCCGAGTTTCTTGAGCTCAAATCCTATAAGCCCTGTCCCAGCTCCAACGTCAATGATTTTGATCTGATCCTTTGGTTTGTCCTGTTTAACTTCTTTAAGGGCGTTATGCAAAGATTCGGCCAGTGGCTTAAAATATGAAGAGCGCGCCTCTGAATGTTCCTATATGATGAGAAAGTTCAAGCTGGTTATTAAGATTAGGTGTTCGACAACTACAACACTAGTCTAATATCGCCTTGGGCCCCTTTTCCTGGAGAGCTCTTGTAACTTTACGAACCCGAAAAGCTGATCTGTTTTCAATCAAAATCGAGATTTTGACCTAAAAATTTTGAACTTAAACTATGAAAATATTGGGTAACAAGGTACAATAAACTAGCTTTGAGCTAATAAGATACATGAAAAAATTACTCAGTTCTGATTGGTTAAGATACATGAAGTTTTCAGGTAATTCAATGCAGAAGAGGGTTAATTCAGTGCAAAGAAGTAACAAACCAGACTGAACAATTCCCCGAACTGTTTAGCCGGACTTTGAACTTTTTTGCGCCTTAAAGATCTGAAAATATCATTGTATGTTATTGTTTTGATCGTTCATGGCTGTTTTGACCAAACACACAATGTCACTTGCAGGGTTTGAATAAATTATTTTTTCACTTAATGTGCGCGCTTTACTTCTGCATAATTTTGGTAAACTATCTCTAGTTCCTAGGTCTTAATTAAGGGAATAATAGAGCAGTATTTAGTAATTTGGATAAATAAGCGCATGTAAATCTTTAAAAAGACCACAAATTGCACTCGCCCTAAGGGCGCGTGAAATTTTGTTTTGAAAACATTTACTCGTGCTCATTTATTCCAAATTGCACTCGAAATTACATGATTACCTATACTAACACTGCACCATTATTCCCTTAATTAAGATCTAGGAATGTTGCAGCAGGCTCGAATGTTCCAGTAGTACTGGAACATTCGAGAAACGCAACCCTGAATGATGGATAAGGTGTCTGGTGGGTCAAACGGCGATGTACCACATGGTCCCCCAGAACATTATTATTATTATGTTACTATTTTAGAGTACCTCGTCATATGTTGCTGACCGTGCAGCATAGATACGTTTGATTTCATCTTCGGTTGTTTCTTTGGTTATTTTTGCTGTTTTTTCTCCGAAATACTTCGTTAAGCTTGCTTTAAACTGCTTCTCATCCATTCTATATTGAGGAACAAAATGCAAAATGTCATATGCACTCGTCTGATGAAAGCTTTTATTATTTGAAGTGCGGTGCTTTGTAATGATTTCAGCCCTGAGAAAAGCCTTAACAGCACACGTGCAAAATTACGATAATTTTTTTTTTACATGAGCTTGTTATCGCCAATCAGCTGCTAACACGTCAATCGCCTTTCGCACCACTTTGTAAGGTTGAGGATTGTCTGGCAAAGCCATCCTTGGAAGACGAGTTTGACAAAAGCAATTCATTTCCCATCCAAGTTCCTAGCCAAGCTGTTCTTTAATAAGTTGAAAAAATTCATAGCTTAGCCTTCTAACTGGCAGCGAGCAATGAATAATAATAATAATAATAACAATAATAACAATAGTAATAATAATAATAACGGTTTATGATCGGTACATCCATGGTATAGCTCTTCGCCTGATATAAGATAATAAATAATAAATAAAATACATAAATCTGAATTATGAATTTGCAAAAAGCTAGGTAATAAACAGTAAAATGTAATTATACAATATATACATTATTTAAAACTAGGCAAGAAATTATTCCGCCTTATTCCGGCAGCGCTCCCTTAAAATACATAATGTTTGCTTACTGAAGGATTTTAAATTATCACAGCATTTAACATTGGATGGTAGAGAATTGAAGAGGGCTGCCGCGTTATACTGAAAAGTGTCCAAGGCATCGGGAATGACTAGATTTATGGTACTTGATGACCGTAAATTTCTAGCATGTTTTACTTGCTCAAGCTGAGGGTTTCTGGGCCAATCATGAGAGTATATAGCTTTGTGTGCGGCCTTTAGAACGTGCCATTCTCTACGTTCTTTCACGTATAACTGCAGTGATTTACAGAGTTGAAGGTTCTGAATAATACAAAGTACAAAGTTGAATTTAAAGTGTGTAACAAAACGCTGATTGGACAAAACATACAATAGTAACAGAATAACCTATGCATTTACAAGGAAAGTTTTAAATTAACACGATAAAGTTGATGATTAAGTGTAGGTCTCTCCCATTGAGTCTGGATACCTTCTTTGATTTTAAGTTGAAAAGTTGTGGATTCGTGATCTAAGAAGTTAAAACACTCATCAGAACAGAGAGAGCGACATTGTGGAGAATTATGTAGATGTCGGAAAATGTGAGAGGTCCTATCAGCATTTTGTTACACACTTTAAATTCAACCTCATACTCTGTATTATTCAGAACTGAAGATGACAGAAGAACATGTTTTTAAAGAGTTAAATGTCCTTTATAAAACAACTAAAGCTAATCTTCACGTCAATTGCATTTCTTCACCGCAGATAAAATAAACCTTATCACTGGTAGCAATGTTTCAGTTCAATTTAACATAAATTTGTCTCAAAATCCTAACCACTTCTTATAGTATTTTCGAAATTGTGGAAGGCAAATACACGGTCGATGGTGTTAGATTTTTAAGGTGAACAAAACACGACAATCAGAAAAACAATTATAAAACGGAATAAATCAAGGACAAGCTGTTCACCATACAACACTAATTTCTGGTTACCATGTATCTACGGCAAAAAACCATGTATCTACGGCAAAAAACCATGTATCACCGGAAAAACCAAGAAAACTTCATTGCATTTGCTTTCACTCCTCTTTAATGCTTCACAGTACTTTGGAATGGAAGTACAATGTAAATTTTAAATGTTCATCGAAATTACAGTTTCAACGGCGACTATTTTCATACTAATGATGTTGCGAACATCACATTAGATGAGCAAACAATATACGTTACTGAAGAGTTCAGAATAATGTTGGGTCACAATTAAGGAGGAAACTATGTGCTGTCAAGCCCACTCTGGCTAATTTCTTTGACTCTTATAATTTGATTCTCTCAGAATACTTTTTACTGACCTCTCCCTAAATTGTGCTTGTGATTTGTTCATCGAAATTACAGTTTCAAGGTTACTATTTTCGTACTAATAATGTTGCGAACATGACATTAGCTGGGCAAAATAATAATAATAATAATAATAAATTACTGAAGAAATCAGAATAATGTTGGGTCGCACTTAAGGAGGAAACTATGTGCTGTCAAGTCCACCATACTCGGCGAAAGGCACCAAGTACTCTCGATCTGCCTTTCTCGGTTCTCTAATACACAATCAATTCTACTTACATCCAATTTTACCCCACTCTGTGGAACTCTGGTTAATTTCTTCGACTCTTACAATTTGATTCTCTCTGAATACTTTTTACTGACCTCTCCCTGATTTGTGTCGCGCATGCTACAAAATGAACTATGAAGTACATGCTTATATAGTCCCTATCGATAGGCATGGGCGGACATGCCAATCAACTGGCCTTGATTGGTTATTTTAGACTACGACGTCTACAAAGTAGACAATGACTCAAGCATGGCGAATCTATTACGCAGGTCGCTTAAACGCAAAGAATTTTGACATTTTTCGCTCATAAATTGTATATTTAGTGTTTCTTTAAATAAAGCTTTTGCCACAAAATATTTAATTGCAATATTTGCCTCGCCTTATAATCACAGTTTTCGATTAGCACGTGGTATTTTGTTAAACCTCCAATGTGCAAACCGATTTTGTAATCTGATCACCAAGTATTCTGTATTAGTTTTTTCCACCATTTTAATAAAAATGTTAGATAAAAAATATTAGAGAATACTCGAAGATCAGATTTCAAAATACTTAAAAGTACATTTTGTCTGTAACTATCATTTTTTTCTAGTTTCAGAATAAGCTGTCTCTAAATTCCCTGCAACCAGGTACGTTCTAAAATAGACAGAGTGTCTGGTAGTCAGACATTTTCATAGAATTTCCACCGAAAGGTTCTTTCAAACTTGTTAAGATTATCAGATGTTTGTTTAGAAATGTCAAAGACTAATTTAGCTTTTAGTGGACAAATTCTCCGTGCTGTGCAGCCTATAGTATCGCTCGGTTGTCGACACTTTGCAATTGTACGCTTAAGATCAGATTGCGGGGCACGGTCTCGAATAGACCAAATGCCCGGCAGTCAAAATTTTTTAAAGTGCCACTAAATGGTTCCATTCTCCAATGATCAAAATGTTAGATAAAAATAGTACAGAATATTTGGCGATAAGATTTTAAAATACTCAAAAGTACATTTTGGCTAAAACTATTGTTTGTTTTAGTCTAAGAGCAAGTTGTTAAACCGTTATTTCCTCAGAGCTTTTTTTAGTAAAAACTCGATTCATTTTACATTTATGGAGCGCCGTTTTTTCCCAAAAGTTTTAAATTGCAAGAAAACAATATCCAAACGACTGCGTTTACGTTGTCTTAAAACAATTGGTTCATACGTGCGTTCATGGAGACATGGAGCGCGTGGAAAGTTTTGAGATCACTCAAGAAGCTAGAGTTGCTCTCGGCGAGGCCTCGAGCAACTTCTCTGTCGCTGTCAAAACTTAGACTGTTATTTCTTTAGGGCTTTTAAGCAAAATTTCGATTTATGTTACATTTATGGAGCGCCGTTTTTTCCCAAAAGTTTTAAATTGCAAGAAAACAATATCCAAACGACTACGTTTACGTTGTCTTAAAATAATTGGTTGATACGTGCGTTCATGGAGAAATGGAGCGCGTGGAAAGATTTTAAACGACGCCTCGAGCAACTTCTCTTTCGCTGTCTAAACTTCCCGTTTATCGGCGATGAGCGCACGCTAAAGTATGAACCATTTGTTGATTCGAAGTGACAGTATGGTAAACTAGTGGATGCCATGTATAGAACATGAAGATATCAGATGTTGGAAAGATGAAAAATATCAGATGAAAAGGAATTGATTGAATCAACGGTTTTTTATATCTCTGCTTCAATAAGCTTGTGGAGTGATGGTCTTAAATCTGTTCATGGACGCACAGCTGTCTTGAGGTTGCGACGTTTGAGATACGTGTAGCCGAACTAAAACCGTGTGTACCTGATCTAGAAATGTATACAAGCGAACAGCTTCAGACCCATGCGGTCACAGTTGCTTGGGTTAATCAATGAAAATCCTTGTTTCAGTGGACAGAGTGGGTTGACTAATCTCATGTTATGACTATATTTGGTCGTGGACAATTGACACCAGGTTCATTGGCCTGGGTGGGTGATACTGTAGGCACGCATTTGTTTGTTATTAAAACGCGATATGAGTTAAGTGCAAGTAGGAACACCAGTGCCGCCACGGCACACACTATCAAAGACAAAAATGCCGGTTAGAAATTTGTCAGTTAAGTGTGGCGTACTCTGAAGTGAAGAGACCTTCATAACGACAATATTCAGGTGGCTTGTTGTCTCAGAGTGTACATGAATTAGCCAAATCAAGGAATCTAGAGAGAACTGTAAATAATAGAGCTGCCACTTGTTACGCCCTTATGTCAAGTATCGTTTAAAAGTTACGCTCTTTCAGAATTCCCAGGTTATCCAGGACATCGTTTAAAACATTTACAGAGAAAGCTTGCAAAATTGGAAGTAAAGCCCAGTTCTGATAACTCGAACGCTTGCTCGTGGGTTTCCGTCATTTGTGTATACCGTAGGATATACCCCAGAAGCCTTTAGAAGATAACAGCACAAATCTGAAATATGTTGAAAGACCAAATTTTGTTTTTCTAGCACACATTTCAGTTGTCTTTGTAAGTGACTTCTTCTTTCTTTATTACATCTTGGAATTTGCTAACGTTAACGTTCGAAGAATTTTTTGAGAGCGTAGATTTATTTCGAGCCGACGAAATATACTGATCAAAACATGTAAAGTGTCCTCGTATATTCAACGTTTTATTAACATGACACAAATATCAATTCTGCATTTATAAAGTCATTTCAATCTGGTTCTGAGATTTTTTTTCAATTATAAGACCGCTGCATCTGCATTGCTGGAATCCCTTCAGAAAAAAACGGAGCTACTAAGAATATTCCTAAATGTGAGTGGTAACTTGACTTTCGTATAGTAAAATTTCAATATTTCACACGTACTGTACTATTTTTACAGTACGGTTAGCCTGGAATCGATTCGTCTCTCACATTTTCAGACATCTACATAATTCTCCACAATGTCACACTCTGTTCTGATGAGTGTTTTAACATCTTAGATCACGCGTCCACAACTTTTCAAGTTAAAATCAAATAAGCTATCCACATTCAATGGGAGAAACCTACTCTTAATCATCAACTTTATCATGTTAATTTAAAAGTTTCCTTGTAAATGCATGCATTGTTCTGTTACTATTGTCTGTTTTGTCCAATCAGCATTTTGTCACACACTTTAATTCAACTTTGTACTTTGTATTATTCAGAAATGAAGATAACAGAAGAACTGTCGAAACATGTTTTTAAAGAGTTGAATGTCCCTTATAAAACAATTAAAGCTAATCTTCACGTCAAGTGCAGTTCTCCACCGCAGACAAAACAAACAACATCACTAGTCTCAATGTTTCTGTTGAATTTATTATAAATTTGCCTCAAAGTCCTAACCATTTCTTATAGTATTTACGAAATTGTGGGAAGCAAATACACGGTCTATGGTGTTAGATTTCAAGGTGAACAAAACGTGACAATCAGAACAACAATCATACAATGCAATGAATCAAGAACAAGCTGTTCACCATACAACACTAATTTCTGGTTACCATGTATCTGCGGCAAGTGAAAATCATCGGAAAAACCAAGAGAACATCATTGAATTTGCTTTCACTCGCGTTCAATGCTTCACAATACTTAGTAATGGAAGTCTAATGTAAATTTTAAATTTTTATCGAAATTACAGTTTTAAGGCTACTACTTTCTTACTAATGATGTGAAAACCTTACATTAGCTGAGCGAAAAAAAAAAAAACGCGTTACTGAAGAGTTCATTATAATGTTGGTTCGCACTTAAGGAGGAAACTATGCGCTGTCAAGCCCACCATGCGAAAGGCACCAAGTACTCTCAATCTGCCTTTCTCGGTTCTCTAATACATTATCAATTCTACTCACATCCAATTTTTCCCCACTCTGTGGAACTCTGGTTAATTTCTTCGACTCTTACAATTTGATTATCTCTGAATACTTTTTACTGACCTCTCCCTGAATTGTGCTTATGATTTGTGCATGGGTGGGCATGCCAGTCACCTGGCCTTGAATGGTTATTTTAGACCACGACGTCTACAAAGTAGACAATGACTCAAGCATGGCGATTCTATTACGCAGGTCGCTTAAACGCAAAGAATTCAGACATTTTTCGCTCATAAATGGTATATTTAGCTTTTCTTTATAAAAAATGTTAGATAAAAAATATTAGAGAATACTCGAAGATCAGATTTCAAAATACTTAAAAGTAGCTATAACTATCATTTTCTCTAGTTTCAGAATACGCTGTCTCTAAATGCCCTGCAACCAGGTACGTTCTAAAATAGATCAAATGTCTGGCCGTCAGAAATTTTCACAGAATTTCCACCAACAGGTTCTTTCAAACTTGTTAAGATTATCAGATGTTTGTTTAGAAATGTCAAAGATAGTTGGCTTTTAGTGGACAAATTCTCCGTGCCGTGCAGCCTATAACATCGCTCGGTTGTCGACACTTTGTACGCTTCTGATCAGATTGCCGGACACGGATAAAGCCCGGCGGTCAGAATTTTTCAAAGTGCCACTAAATGGTTCCATTCTCCGTTCTCCGTTGATCAAAATCTTTGATAAAAGTAGTACAGAATACTGGGCGATAAGATTTTAAAATACTCAAAGTACATTTTGGCTAAAACTATTATTTGTTTTGGTTTAAGAGCAAGTTGTTAAACCGTTATTTCTTTAGAGATTTTTTTAGTAAAAATTCGATCTGTTTTGCATTTATCGAGCGCCGTCTTTTCCCAAAAGATTTAAATTTCAAAAAAACAATATAGATATCTATAAACAACTGCGTTTATGTTGTTTTAAAACACTTGGTTCCTACGCGCGTTCATGGAGACATGGAGCGCCTTGAGCAACTTCTCTGTCGCTGTCTAAACTTCCCGTATATCGGCCATGAGCGTACGCTAAAGTATAAACTAATTGTCAACTCAAAGTGACAATATGGTTAACTAGTGGATACCCTGTAGAGAACATGGAGATATCAGATGTTGGAAGAAAATATAATGAAAAGGAATTGATTGAATCAACGGTTTTTTATATCTCTGCTTCAATAAGTTTGTGGAGTGATGGTCTTGAATCTGTTCATGGGTGCACAGCTGTCTTGAGGTTGCGACGTTTGAGAGTCGTGTAGCCGAACTAAAACCATGTGTACCTGATCTAGAAATGTATTCAAGCGAGAAACTTCAGAATCATGCGGTCAAGTCGGTCACAGCTGACTGCGTTAATCAATCAAAATCTTTGTCTCACTGCACAGGGTGGTTTGACTAATCTCATGTTATGACTATATTTGGTTATGGATGATTGAAATCAGGCTCGTTGGCCTGACAACTTTGGTGCATGGTACTGTAGGCACGCATTTTTTTCGAAGTATTTGTTTGTTATTACAACACAATATTAGTTAAGTGCAAGTAGGAACACCACTGCTGCCGCGGTACACACCATCAAAGACAAAATTTCATTTGGAATTTGTCAGTTAAGAGGGTGGCGTTCTCTGAAGTGAAAAGACCTTGAATGACCTTCATAACGATGAGGTACCTTTTATATTAAAGGGTCACGTGACAGACTCTGAAAGAACTGTCAATAACAGAGCTGCCACTTGTTACGCCCTTATGTCAAGTATCGTTTAAAAGTTATGCTGGTCCGAATTCCAAGGTTACCCAGAGAACTTTCTAAAAAATTTGCAGAGAAAGCTTGCAAAAGTGGATGCAAATCCCAGTTCTGATAACTCGAACGCTTGCTCGTAGGATTCTGTCATTCATGTATACTGTAGGGTATACCCCAAGATGGCTTTAGAAGATAACAGCATAAATCTGAAATATGTTGAAAGACCAAATTTTGTTTTTCTAACACACGTTTCAGTTGTCTTTGTAAGTGACTTCTTCTTTCTTTATTACATCTAGCGAATTTTCTAACGTTAACATTGGAAGCATTCTTTCGGAGAGCGTAGATTTCTTTCAAGCCTACGAAATTTACTGTTCAAAGCAGGTAAAGCGTTCTCGTATATCCAACGTTTTATGAACATGTTACACAACTATGTATCACATGCTTCATTGCACCAACATGTATTACTATATTATTGCACGGACCTTTGTATACTTTACACCTTTGAACACCTTGTACATATTTAATGATTGCAAACATTAAATGTTCAGTTTTGAACATGTAACAGAGGCGTTAACAAACACGACACAGGTATCAATCCTGCACTTATCAAGTCATTTCAATCTGGTTCTGAGATTTATTTCATTTATAAGACCGCTGCATCTGCATTGCTAGAATCTGTTCAGAAGAAAACGGAGCTGCTCAGAATATTCCTAAATGTGAGTGGTAACATGACCTTCGCAGAAAAAAATTTCAATATTTCACAAGTTCTTCACTATTTTTTTACCGTACGGTTAGCCCAGGATCGAGGGTCTTATGTTTTTCTCGTAAGATTTAATTATTCTATTTGCTTATTGTTTATTTTAAGGTAACATGTCGTGAAAATCCAAAGTGTTGCAAAATGGACTTGAACTCATTTATTCTTGCTCTTGTACATAGAAACATGAAGTAAGTTAAAACTTGATTGGCTGGCAAGTCAATCAGGCTGACGATTAATTTTGTCTTTAAGTGGGTCAGTCAATTCGATAGTACGTACGTAATTCAGTCAGTCAGTCCGAATATATGTACTCTGTGATGCTCTCGAAGGTGTCCTCCTGATCATTAAACTGTTGTTGAAAACCCTAACTTTGAAGTCTTTTCTCCAGTTTGTACCTTGTGGGGTAAGAACACTAATGACCTTAAAAAAAAAAAAACAACTGTAAACGATAGGATGCATTCCATGTCATTTGTGAGATTTACTTTGTATAGTACCATATGCACTAGATTTCAAAATTGGTCTACTCTGCCAAAAATCTTGTAAAGTTTTGTCTCCGCGAAATTATAAATTTGGCAATTACATACGTAGTTGAAATATTTGATAACCGCAGAGTCTATTAACTTGAAGTCTTCAAAAGCGATTGGTTATCGATTTTGAAATGGTAAACATTGATCTAAACACATTTTCTAATCTTTCTAATGCACAGGGAATAAAATGTCACACGAGAGCTCATATTTTACAGCTTTTGTGTCGAGCGAAGAAAAACCGAAATTAGAAATGGCTTTATTTTCAAAATAGAGAACTCCTCGATGCTGAAAAATGAATCGGTAGTTTCGAAATTTTAATTTGCATTAAAATACAACAAAAAATATCAGGAAACGAAACACAAGCCTTAAACGAATATTTGAAATGGCTATGGGCTCGCCGCCCACCGGCACGTGCAAATACGTAAGTACAACATCAGGACAATGTAGTTTAAGCAGTTTGATTTATTTCATATACTTGCTTTTTAAACATCAAAACTTCACAACAGCATTATAACTAATGTTTTAAGTCAGCTAAAACAATGATTATCCTGTATGGCCTAAATGAGGTAGGCTTAACTGTAATGGTACATGTTTCTTAATTCTTTAAAACTTTTTAAACGAACCCCCAGCATTCACTGGGCAAGTCCTCGGCTGCATAGAACGGTGAAGACTCTTTGGACATGCACGTCCATTCGCCAGCTTTTTCCAGCTCCGTCATCATTTCTTGATAGTGTTCTAATTCCTCTTTCATTATGTTGAAACAGAGAACGCCATCTGCAAAGAAGTTAGCATTGGAATTTAGTGTGGATCTTGTAAGGTTTTATCATAGGAAATTTCCATTATATTTTCCTATTTGTCCACTTTTTCACTAGATTTAACTCAAAGAGTTGGTTAACCGTTAACCTGTGACATCATCCAAAGAGAAGTTGAGACCAGCTTGGGGGCGTGATCTTGATACATCAAAAAATTCTTTAAGCGAATTTGCAGAGAGAGGATTTGACCTCAGCAGATGATTTGAGGGTCAGATGCCAGATGTTAAGGGAATTTATCAAGAAGGTTGTTACGTGAGTTTTCATTATCTGATCTATCTCATGATTTGAGTTTTCAAAGAAAACAAAAACAAACCAGCAAAAAACTTGTGAGAATATTTTACATGTTAGGTCCTCAATCTAAAATCATACTCAGACCCACCAGTTTGAACCATTCTTATCATCTCCACGAAAGCAGATGAGCCGATACGTCCTGTAATGAGCGCCCCACCACAAATCAAAGCATCGAATTGCCTAGATTTAATCTGAGGTATCGGCTGCCCGTTCAAAGACATGCAGATGAATTCAGTATAGACCTCTTTCTTCTTTGCTTCCGTTAACATCTCAGCTGAGATGTTCAAAGCACATAGGTTGGTGTATCCGAGTTTCTTGAGCTCAACTCCAATCAGACCTGTCCCAGCTCCAGCGTCAATGATTTTGATCTGATTCATTGGTTTGTCCTGGTAAATTTCTTTAAGGGCTTTATGCAAAGATTCGGCCAGTGGCTTGTGATATATTAAGTGCGCGCCGCTGAATGTTCCTATAAGATGAGAAAGTTCAAGCCGGTTATTACGATTAGAGATGTTCGATAAAGACGACACAAGTCTGGTGTCGCCTTGGGCCCCTTTTCCTCGAGAGCTCCGGTAACTTTACGGACTCGAAAAGCTGATCTGTTTTCAATCAAAATCGAGATTTTAGTTTAAAAAATTTGAACTTAAACGAAAGAAATGTTGGGCAACAAGGTATAATAAACTAGTTTTTTAGCTAATAAGATACATGAGAAAATTACTCAGTTCTGATTGGTTAATTAAGGTAATTCAATGCAGAAGAGAGTTAATTCAGTGCCAAACCAGACCGCACAATATCCTTGAACTGTTTAACCGGACTTTGAACTTTTTTGCGCCTTAAAGATGTGAAAATATCATTGTATGTTATTGTTTTGATCGCATGCGGTTGTTTTGACCGCACGCATAATGTCACTTGCAGGGTTTAAATAAGTTATTTTTGCACTTGATGCGCGCGCTTTGCTTCTGCATGATTATGATAAACTATCTCGTATTTTTTCATGTATGTTATAAATACGTAATCACACGATTTTCCTCGTGCAGTTTGGATTAAATAAGCACATGTAAATCTTTTCAAAGACCACAAATTGGCACTCCAAATTCCAAATTGCGCTCCAAATTCCAAATTGCACTCCAAATCATATGATTACCTATACTAAGACTGCACTATTATTCCCTTAATTAAGATCTAGGAATGTTGCAGCGGGCCCGAATGTTCTAGTAGCAATGGAACATTCGAGAAACGCAACCCTGAATGACGCATCAGGTGTCCGGTGGGTCAGACAGCAATGTGCCACATCGTCCCCCAGACCCTTATTATTATTATGTTACTATTTTAGAGTACCTCGTCATATGTTGCTGACCGTGCAGCATAGAGACGTTTGATTTCATCTTCGGTTGTTTCTTTGGTTACTTTTGCTGTTGTTTCTCCGAAATACTTCATTAAGCTTGCTTTTAAATGCTTCTCATCCATTCTATATTAAAGAACAAAATGCAAAATGTCATATACAGTTGTCTGATGAAGGCTTCTAGTATATGAAGTGCGGTGCTTTGTAATTATTTCAAGCCCTGAGAAAAGCCTCAACAGCAAACGTGTAAAATTACGGTAGTTTTTTTTACACGTCACTCGCTGACACGTCACTCGCCTTTTGTGCCACTCTGTAGGGTTGATGATTGACTGACAAAGTGATCCTTGGAAGACGAGGTTGACAAAAGGTTAGCCTTCTAACGGGCAACGAGCAATGAATAACTGTAGTGATTACAGAGTTGAATGTTCTGAATAATACAAAGTACAAAGTTGAATTTAAAGTGTGTAACAAAATGCTGATTGGACGAAACAAACAATGGTAAGAGAACAATGTATGCATTTGCAAGGAAAGTTTTAAATTAACATGATAAAGTTTATGGTAAGTGTAGGTTTTTCCCACTGAAAGTGGATAGCTTTTATGATTTTAAGTTGAAAAGTTGTTGAAGCACACACACACACACACCCCACTTTATTAATTTCCAATTAAATTTTACAGAAAAGGGCTTGCCTGCAACTAGCAAAGGCTAATCTAGGCGGGCCATGCTTTGATAGCCGAGTTACAAAAATATATTAAAAATAGATATTAACTTATAAAGTAGAAGGAAAAGAGACAGTATTGAATAACAACAAGAAAAACCGTTGCATTGCCCTAATTTAAAATATTAAAAGTACAGCTGCTGTTTATAAAAATAGTCAGGTCAGATCAGCAGAAGTATTACCAGGATTTTACATTTTGTGTAATCTAAGATAAATCTATAGAAGAGTCTTGTGAACCTGATATGTTGAATAAAATTTGTTCGAGTTTTTTTTTAAACGCATTTTTGGAAAGATTTCTTAATGCTTGAGATATAGCATTCCACACTTTTACTCCTATCCGAGAGAAGGAATTCGCTTGAACGGATAGCCTAGAAGGTTTGGTATAGAAGTTATTAGAGGCAGAAGAACGTGTATTGTAAGAATGAACATTATATATATCTTGAAATAAATCTTGAATATTGGATGGAGCTGTTCTGTTTCGAACGTCAAACATCAAATTAGCTAAAGATTAATAATGAACAAATTTTTAGCGTTAAGATATGAGCGTTATCAAATAAAGGAATTGCATGCTCGTTATGATCAGAAAAGTAGATAAAGCGATGAGCTCGTTTCTGTAACTTTAGGAGCTTGTCAAGGTAAGATTTACAAGCCTGACCCCATACTGTCAGACCGTATGTTAAGTAAGGAGCTATAAGAGCTTGGTATATATTTAAGAGGGTATGCGTTGGCAGAAAGTGCCGTAATTTTGCGATTAATCCTTCGGTTCTGCTTACGTTAATGATTATATGGTCAATATGGTGTTTCCAAGACAAATTTTTTTCAATTAAAATCCCGAGATATTTGACATAATCTTTATGCTCCAGAGCCACCTTCTTGTTCTGTTTGTTATCAAATATCACGATTTTAGGTTGATAAGAAAGTTTCCTTTGGGCAGGGCAAAATATAATTTGTATCATCCGCAAAAAGGTAAAACTAAGCTTATCTGATGATTCCTGTATGTTATTGATATATAACAAAAAAAGCAGTGGGCCTAGAACAGAACCCTGAGGCACTCCACAGGTAGAATCTAACCTTTCAGAAATATGAGGACCAATTTGAGTTGTTTGAGTTCGCCCTTGCAAGTAGGAAGAAAACCAGATGTTTATAATGCCGCGAAGACCATAGTGATCTGACTTGCGCAAAAGAATTTCGTGATCTGCAGTATCAAAAGCCTTTTTCAGATCAATGAAAATCCCGCATGAGAAATATAATTCGACTCTTACAATTTGATTCTCTTTGAATACTTTTTACCGACCTCTCCCTGATTTGTGTTGCACATGCTGCTAAATGAACTATTAAGTGGGTGGCATGCCAATCAACTGGCCTTGAATGGTTATTTTAGACCACGACGTCTACAAAGTAGACAATGACTCAAGTCTATTTCGAGGGTCGCTTAAACGCAAAAAATTCTGACATTTCCGCTCATAAATGGAATATTTAGTTTTTCTTTAAATAAAGCTTTTGTCACAAAATATTTAATTACAATATTTGCCTCGCCTCATAGTCCTAGTTTTCGATCAGCACGTGGTATTTTGTTAAACCTCAAATGTGCAAACCGATTTTGTAATCTGATCACCATGTATTATAACATAGCTAGTAAATTTGTCTAAAAATTGACTAAAAATTGAACTGTAACCAGGATATGACATAGTGAAAAAGGTAAAAAACGTTCTCTGGTTAAATAACTCTAAACCGTTACCAAGACAATATTGTATCTTATTGTAATTTGATTTTGTTCTATTGTCCATTTTTTAGCTTTTCACACTTCTATTGTATTTTTTAGTTTTTAATTTTTTCACACCCTCCCCTGTATATATTTCCATTCACGCACTTATATTTTTTACATTCGTTAAAGGCTATGGTATAATAGCCGAAAGCTCATATTTTAAAACCTTTTTAACCAGAGAACGTTTTTTACCTTTTTCACTAAATTTGTCTAATCAAATTCAATTGCGCGAACGTGCTTCATATTCCTATTGTGCACGCTCACGACGTCAGCGAACATATCCCTCGAGAAAAAATTTTCCATTGGGTTGAAAATTCAAAAAGCAAGAGTTGAAAATGCAAGAAGCTAGAGTTACGCATCTTTTGTGCTCTCCAAACTTCCCGCGTACTTCATATCTCGATGAACGCACGCTGACGTATGAACCAATTGTTAATTCTGTATTAATTTTTTTCTACCATTTTGATAAAAATGTTAGATAAAAATATTAGAGAATACTCGAAGATCAGAGCACATGCTAAAGTATGAACCAATTGTTAATTCAAAGTGACAGTATGGTTAACTAGTGGATACCCTGTAGAGAACATGAAGATATCAGATGTTGGAAGAAAATATATGAAAAGGAATTGATTGAATCAACGGTTTTTGATATCTCTGCTGCAATAAGCTTACAGAGTGACGGTCTTGAATCTGTTCATGGGCGTACAGCTGTCTTGAGGTTGCGGCGTTTGAGAGTCATGTAGCCGAACTAAAACCGTGTGTACCTGATCTAGAAATTTACACAAGCGAGCAGCTTCAGACCCATGCGGTCACAGCTGCTTGGGTTAATCAATCAAAATCTTTGTTTCACTGCACAGAGTGGGTTGACTAATCTCATGTTATGACTACATTTAGTCATGGATGATTGACATCAGGTTCGTTGGCCTGACAATTTTGGGTAGGTGGAACTGTAGGCACGCATTTTTATCGCAGTATGTGTTTGCTATTATAACCCAATATGAGTTAAGTGAAAGTAGGAATACCACTGCCGGCACGGTACACCCATCAGAGACAAAATTTTCGGTTAGGAATTTGTCAGTTAAGAGTGTGGCGTACTCTGAAGTGGAAAGACCTTGAATAACCTTCATAACGATCAGGTGGCTTTTATATTAAAGGGTCACATGACAGACTCTGTGTCAGAGTGTACATGAATTAGCCAGATCAAGGAATCTAGAAAGAACTGTAAATAACAGAGCTGTCATATTGTATTAATCAGAACTGAAGATGACAGAAGAACTGTCGAAACATGTTTTTAAAGAGTTGAATGTCCGTTATAAAACAAGTAAAGCTAATCTTCACGTCAAGTGCAGTTCTTTACCGCAGACAAACCAAACCTTATCACTGGTATCAATTTTTCTGTTGAATTTATCATAAATTTGCCTCAAAATCCTAACCACTTCTTATAGTATTTCAGAAATTGTGGGAAGCAAATACATGGTCGACGGTGTTAGATTTTAGAGGTGAACAAAACATGACAATCAGAAGAACACTCATACAGTGGAATGAATGAAGAACAAGCTGTTCATCATACAACACTAATTTCTGGTTACCATGTATCTGCGGCAAGTGAACATCATCGGAAAAACCAAGAGAACTTGATTGAATTTGCTTTCAATCGCCTTCAATGTTTCACAATACTTTGAAATGGAAGTCCAACGTAAATTTTAAATGTTCATCGAAATTACAGTTTCAAGGCTACTATTTTCATACTAATGATGTTGAAAACCTTACATTATCTCAGCAAAAAAAAAACGTTCAGAATAATGTTGGGTCGCACTTAAGGAGGAAACTATGTGCTTTCAAGCCCACCATACTTAGCGAAAGGCATCAAGTACTCTCGATCTGCCTTTCCCGGTTCTCTAATACACAATCAATTCTACTTACATCCAATTTTACCCCACTCTGTGGACCTCTGTTTAATTTCTTCGACTCTTACGATTTGATTCTCTCTGAACACTTTTTACTGACCTCTCCCTGATTTGTGCTGCGCATGCTACTAAATGAACTATGAAGTGCATATCTTAAGTACTAATACATATACTATACCTAGCAAGATTCCTTAAAAAACGATTTTTTTAAGAATTTTCTAATTCAGGTAAGATCCTCAAAACGTAGCTCAACTTTGGCGACTAAAATCGGCCATTGTTACATGGCTCCATAAACTGATACAATAACCATTGTCAAGCATAAGGTTTCTTCTTTTAGAAACTGCAATAAAATTTGGGCTACTCAAACTCCGAATTTTTAGAGCGATTTATATAAGCGTATTTGAGCTCAAGAAGCGTGTTACGTGACCAACGGGACTTGCATGTCACACTAAGAAAAACATTACCAAAACACTCGAATTCCCTCTTATATCATATAAAAACTTCGAAACAGGTCTCTTTCATATTCAGTATACATATAATTTTCTCCTGAAGGCAAAGAGTCAAAGCAATCTGGGCATTTTCGATAGTCTAGTATCTGCAAATTGCTGGTCTATGTTGTTACAACGGCCATATTCGCAACTAATACCAACCCAACAATAACAAAAACTTTTTTAACATCAGAAGGAATTGCCCTGGCTATAATTACACAAAATGTTACCTTTAGAAGTGGTTTCATGCCAAGAGTATGCACTTTAGCCCGCTCCACCGTTTTCAAAACATATCCATGCTACCATTTCTCGCCACCGTAGTGCGATCGATGGTATGTGATTGCGTTACACACAGGAAGCTCATTAAGTAAGAATGATACAGAAGATGACCAACGTTTTTGATAGAGCAAGGTTGGTCTTTATAAAATCCTTTCGATCTAAAACATGTTTATTGTAAACGTGAGGCACTGCCAATTTTTTTTAAAACAAAGCTTCAAAGGGATAATGACATATCGTAGCCGTGTATGGCGCATATGCACCTATTGTACTTATTTCTATCAAGACAGTTGGAATAATGTTGGTGTCTCTCTATTCCAGGAGTCCTTATTTTCTGAATACGAAGACTATGGTCACTTCTAGCTGGAAAGTTTCTTTTTTTCTTTGCACGTACACGACTTTATCAGTTCATAGATCAGACCAATGTATGGCGCTTTTCGTATAGCAAGAAGGGAATCAATGTCCAAATGGAAATATGTGCATATATCTTGAAGGAAAGAAATACTGAAACGAGTAGGCTTGTTCGTGGCATACAGTTGACAGAGATTGCATGTGTCATAAAAAATGGGATGACTCTTGAATTATCTTGTCACGAGCTGAGGAGTGTGCCATTTCTTCATCAATGGCTGGTACATCGATTTCTGCTACCGATCCCACCTGTTTGATCTTTGCTGCTGACCTTGAGGAATACGACTTTGTCTGCTGTGGTGATAAAAACTCGCCAACAGCAAATCGACGCTCACCATTTTCATTTTTAGCACGACGCATATCACTCGCAACTTGGGATGGATCTTCTTTGTAACCAGTTTCCTGGCCAAGTTTGAACTTTTCGTCGATATAATTCTATTAGTTTTCAATGAAATGCGTTGATTTCTTAGACGCCTTCAGTGCTCAGCCTTCTGAAAGTTTTTGTTCGAACTTGACATCAGTACATTGGAGCTGGCCATCTGAGGTTGTGTGCTTGTTCCTTCTGTCAGCTTTTGCACATAGAGTAGCTTTGCTTTATCAATGAGGGTAGTTTTCTCTTCTACTATTCCGCACTTGCCGTAAAGAATATGATATTCGAGATTCAAATACTTCTGGAATTCAAAGACGCATCCTTTAGAGGGACATGAAAATAAGCCACTGTGGAATACCTCTTCACTTTCGTCTCGGGCTTCACCTTCATCTTTCTCTTTTTCTTCTACTACTTCCACTGGGGTATTCTCCAATGATACTTCAGGGCGCTGTGTAACCGTTTGATTTGACGTTTCCACAAAATCTCCAGAGGAAAGCTTTATTGCAGTCAAAGATATTGGCAATAGACTCACTTGAACTAAACAGAAAAACATTGAATACTAATATTTCTAACATAAATTTTAACATTGCAGAGGATCATATGTATTTTTAGTTTATAACTAGTGGTTGTGCAATTTAAGATAATTTCATATTGATTCTCACCTGGTACCTTAGACCACTGAAGGGTTTTCCCTTTCCCTACGTTATAAGCTCTCCATACAGTGATACTTTCCCCGTTGTTTGTGTAGCTGAAATTATTTAGTGTGCTAATCCCCTTCCATTTGCCTTGCGTGCCAACTGTTTCATCTATTACGGTGTCAAGAAGGGCACCCCTCACTCCACTTACTCCACCGTGGGACAGAGTGGCATCTTTGAAGTCAGCGGCAGTCAGAACGTCGTTACCTTCATTCACATATCGCCGAACATGTCCTTTGGTGGTGGTAGCCTTGCGGTCGCACGGACCTTTGCCACCCTGTTGATCGCTAAAGTCGACCCTCTTCTGGGTGCTCCTTTTTTAAGACTGTGAGTACATGCTTTAGGATCCATACTACTGCATCACTGTTTTGGCTTGTATTTTTAACAACGTGGATAATTAACTGGCTCTATATTCTACCATTTTTCTTACGGACTATGACAATAATGTGCCAAGAAATACCTCTCTTAGCAAACCAATCTGCTTGCGATTCACGATATCTTTGAGGCAAGAACTTCATTGGCCAGTCCTGGGTAATGAGGATGGAATTATCGTCGAGCTCTTTTAAGACAACCGTTCGCACTTTGTCTTGTATCAGCGCGTATGTGATACAGTGGTCCGCAACACTTGAAGCAAGAGATACGTGGACCTATATAAACAACAACAACAATAACAACAAAACCTGAGTAAGTGCTATTAGTAATGTGTATGCCTGTCTAGTCTTGAAGTGCCAATAAGGACAAGGTCGGCCTTCTTACATGCCTTTCTTTTTTAATCTATCTTTTGACTTTTTAGTTATAATACCAATTCTTATCCATACATTCCCAATATTAAAGTGCCTCAGAGTTTTGTTAGGCTGCAAGAAATCCCTATATTCCCATTGCTAACTGTCCGCGGAGAATTGTTTACGAGTCAAATGTCCCTGCGGACAGTGGACAAGGGAAATAGAGGGACTGCTCGGAGGCTCGAATAAATAATATCTCAAGACACGAAGTGCAATCTTGCATCAATATGAACCCGACTCATCTGCTATGGAAGACTGATGAACAGAAAGGGTTTCAAAATTTTAAATTTTTCCTATAATTGCCTTTATTTATTTGGCATTTTAAAATATTGCCGCGCGTCCGTTTTGGCGATACCTTGCCAAATTTGGTCACCATCTTAATGGTTCATGCTGTAAAACGCATAATTTTTAAGATGGTCATGATTTACGCTTATTCTCCAAGATAGGTTTGATGAACATAGCAGACTATGGAGTCAAAACCCTTTATAAAGAAATATTTATTGGTAGTGATTGTATATTACCTTAAAGTCGTTTTGAGATATTGCTTGCCTTCCTTGAATACTTTTTCTAATCGTTTTGTTGTTGGATTATCACTTCCATGAGTGGTCAGAGATTCAGCAATGGTCGCCATGTCTTCTAGTGCTTTAGTTCCCTTCGCTGATAGATAATCAAGTCCTTGAAGAGACTTTCTTACTGTTGTTGAACACAATACCAGGATGCGTTGCATAGTTGATGCGCTGAAGGGCTTGAAGTTAGTCTCCAAATAGTACTGCTGGTATTGATCGATGACGCGCTGGTTTACCATCGTTTGTATAACATTTGTGGTTTCAATGATTTTACCACCTGATAAATACAAATAACGCTTCCCAAAAGGCAAGACCTGGATTACATGAGGACTCGTGAGGAATGACAAAAATGATCGAACTGGGAATAGTCCATTCGCATCTTTGTACTTCTTGCAGCGGGCAGCGGTATTCCACGACCATAATTCTTAATGTGGTGTCTTGCGGATACAACTCTATAGCGGGTTATGCCTGGTAGATACTCTTGAAGCTTCGAAAATGGAACCAAATCTGCCTTTATGGACAGCACTTGCCTTCGTGTTTCCCAACCAGTACCATGTTCATATGTTTCTGTTAGAGCTCTTAAGTAGATCGTTTCACTTTGATCGGCGTTTTCTACAGACAGTGCGTCATCAACCAGCCTGGCATTCTTCACTGCTTCCCATAAAGCACCAGCATCCCCAAGAGCAATGACTTCCAGTAATGCAACAATGGATTTGCTTACCTTTGATATGTGTTTCTTTTGGCTCTGTGCTTTCAACTGGCTAAACGTTTTCTTAGATTGCATGTGCTATCGACTCCGAAATCAGAAAGGAACTGGTTGAGTTTGCTACGTTGTGAACGAAAGTCTTTTTCTTCTTCTTCTTGACTTGAATCCTCACTGCATATACCTCTAGTACAAGAATCCGGTGAGTACTCAGTTGTAATTGTTAGGTTATCCATTCTTTCACACAACGAGCTATTACTTGATTGGCAACCATGAATAAAGACACAGACCAGTATTGTTGGGTTACCTCAACTAATTTATCAACCTATCAGTTTATTATAGTTTTCTTAAAGTGATAAAAGTGAATAATTACCGAGACAAACGAATAATTGATTTTGTATCACCCGGGTCGAATCTTTTTTGTGTTGTCAAAGTAGGAATAACAGGAATAGGCAAATAACTGTTAAACATTCCATTGTTTTCGAGCAACCAGTGCACTTTTATAATTACAGTTTTATGATACTTAAAAACAATCGTCATTTATGACTGTCGTAATGACGCACCATTTCGGTTCTACAGCCAATACTTGTATCGAAAGAATTTTCCATTGCCTGATCTCCTTTGGTTACAGAAATAATCCGTGTACCTTAGTGCCAACCGATTTTCAATTATGTAGAAAAATGAACCCCAAATTTTAGTTTCGTTTTTCGTTTTTCTTTGCAGCAAATAAATGAAATTGGACTTCCATTTTCGTTTTTCATTTTTCCCCGCCGAGAAGGAAACGGAATTCGAATTCACTTAATGCTCTCCGTTTTTCTTTCTATGTCACTCAAAAAAACGGATTTGAATTTTCTTTTTCGTTTTCCGTTTTCGTATGGAATTTTGAAAACGGATTACGATTCGTGTTTGGTTTTCTGTTTTCGGTTTATGGCATTGAAATTGACAATTTTTGTTTAAGCGGGAATATTTAGGAGACTAAGATGGCGGCGTTAGAAAATGTCTTAGATAAAGACTTTGTCGGCCGGTTTCTTATCGAACAGAAACATACTCACGAGGAGCTTGTCACTGAAATCAAGGCTCGATATCCGAATCTAAAGGGCTGTAGTTTACGAAGCGTAAAAAGGTTTTGTAATCACTAAGGAATAAGGAAAAGAATGAGGGTGCGCAATGCAATGCAAGCCCCGGTCCTCCCCCAAACCCATTTCGTAAAACATTGTAAATATAATGGATATAATTTGAATGTATATGATATGTATACTTATTAAATAAATGAATGAATGGATGAATAAATAAATAAATAAATGAAGGAATGAATGAATGAAGGTATGAAAGAAGGAAGGAATGGATAGATAGATAGATAGATAGATAAATAAATAAATTGTAGGCATGAACCAATGCAGAGCGTAGCCCCATAATTATTCAAAATAGTAGTAACCCATCAAGCCGAAAAAATTTGGATGTACGACCGTACTACCGTACGACCCTACGACCGTACAAGGTGCTACTTTTAACATGCGTGGTAAACTGTACCGCGGGCAAGCCAACGCCACGGCTTTGTTCAGTGATCAGTGCACTGGTCTCCGAGTCGGACGACCTAGGTTCTAGTCCTGGCCGGGGCAAGGCGTTGTGCCCTTGAGACGTGCGAGCTCCGCTTTTAGGCTTGGCTAAATCTATATATTATCAATGACAACATATAATGCTGACTGGCATCCTGTTGTCTTGGATTAAAGCGTTTATGTGGATTCAAGAAATAAATCTTAAAGTAAAGATAGAATCCAGGGCATTGAACCGTGTCACAATATGACCTCATTGATCTTAGTGCAAAATATAAAAGCAGGACAAAGGGGGACACAGTTTTTGCCTTTGCTAAACATTCTTGACATTTTTGATAATGAGATATTTACCTGCTCTGGCGAGAAGAAGAATGGACTCACTTTCCAGCTGAGCAAAAGGGCATTTATATGTTTTAAGATGACCTTGGATGTCTCTTTTGCACTTAGTTATGACTATGCATTTACTTTCTTCACTGGTCTTGCGGGAACTACAAGAACCACTAACGAGCTCGGAGTAGCCGCATGTCGCCATTTTAGCAAACGAAGCAATTTCAAACAATGGTAAGCAAGAAAGAGGACGGCGAAGATAAGCATTCTCACGCTTATGGGCTTCCTGTGTGTAACGCAATCACATACCATCGATCGCACTGCAGTGGCGAGAAATGGTAGCATGGATAAGTTTTGAAAACGGTGGAGCGGGCTTAAGTGCATACTCTTGGAATGGAAACCACTTCTAAAGGTGACATTTTGTGTAATTATAGCCTTGGCAATTCCTTCTGATGTTAAAAAAGTTTTTGTTATCGTTGGGTTGGTATCAGTTGGGAGTGTGGCCGTTGTAACAACATAGACCAGCAATTTGCAGATGCTAGACTATCGAAAATTGCCCAGATTGCCTTGACTCTTTGGCTTCAGGAGAAAATTATGTATGTTAAATGTGAAGGAGACCTGTTTCGAAATTTTTATACGATATAAGAGGGAATTCGAGTGTCTTGGTAATGTTTTTTTTAGTGTGACGTGCAAGTCACTTTGGTCATGTAACGCGCTTCTTGAGCTCAAACACGCTTTTATAAATCGCTCTAAAAATTCGGAGTTTAAGTAGCCCAGAGTTTTATTGCAGTTTCTAAAGGAAGAAACCTTGTTCTTGACAATGGTTATTGTATCAGTTTATGGAGCCATGTAACAATGGCCGATTTTAGGGTGAAGTTTTACCCGAATTAGAAAATTAGTAAAAAAAATCGTTTTTTAAGGAATCTTGGAAAAAAAAACTTTAGAACCTTTAAAAAACACCTCTTGTTTTAGAATTATGAATTATGTGGTTTCTGAAATGCTGGCGGAATAGACTTTCTCGGCCGTTATCTTGAGGTGCACTATTTCACCGGGAAAATACGATTATGAACCCCCAAAACACAAAATGCCACCGTTTTCCCAAAATATCTTTTTTTCGGCATTTTTTATATTTTTCCGTAACTAAGGCCATTCATTCCTATGTTTGAAAAAATTTCAGTTCTTTTATTTTCAACACCTTTGCTCGATTTTTACAGACAACCACTCTTAAAATACTCAAAGGTACATTTTGGCTAAAACTATTGTTTGTTTAGTTTAAGAGCAAGCTGTGAAACCGTTATTTCCTTAGAGATTTTTTTAGTGAAAATTCGATTTGATTTGTATGTATGGAGCGCCGTCTTTTCACATAATTTTTAAATTGCATGAAAACAATATATAAACAATTGCGTTTAAGTTGTTTTAAAACAATTTGTTCATACGTGCGTTCATAAAGACATGGAGCGCGTGGGAAGTTTTGAAACGACACCTCAAGTAACTACTTCTCTGTGGCTGTCTAAATTTCCCGTATGTCGGCCATGAGCGCGCGCTTAAGTATGAATCAATTGTTAATTCAAAGTGACAGTATGGATAGCTAGTGGATACCCTGTATAACACATAGAGATATCAGATTTCATGAAAAGGAATTGATTTAATCAACGGTTTTTGATATCTCTGCTTCGATAAGCTTGTGGAGTGATGACTTTAAATCTGTTTTAAGTAATCAATTTTGAAATTGCTAACATTCATCTAAACACATTTACTAATCTTTCTTGTGCTCAGGGAATAAAATGTCACACGATAGCTCATATTTTACAGCTTTCCTGTGTGGAGCGAAGAAAAACCGAAATTAGAAATGGCTCTATTTTCAAAATAGAGAACTGCACGATGCTGAAACCTTTCTGAAGGTTTCAGGGGTCTTTCGTCTTTCGGAGTTAAACCATAATATTCCCTCTTATTTTGGACTTTTATGGTGGAAGATAAGTAAAAAGCAAGGGTTGTGTTAGATTTGTGCTTCGAAAACAACTTTTGAGTTTGTGTTGAATGTTTAAGTCAATACTAAGACCTCTGAGTTGTTCAGTGGATAAGTAGTTTCTTCTCCGTCTTGACCTTAAATTTCTCGAGAGTCTTGGTACTTATCGGTTCCAGCTTAAAAGCTTTTATTTTTACCACTGTGTTCAAATTCAAGAAAAAGGCATCTATATTTTCGAAATTTTAATATCAGGAAATGAAACGTAAGCCGTGACAGAAAATTTGAAATGTCTGCGGGCAGTCGCCGTCCACCGGCATTTGCAAAACTGTAAGTACAACATCAGGGCAATGTCGTTTGAACAGTTCGATTTATTTAATAAACTTGCTTTTGTTTTAACATCAAAATATCACAACAGCATTATAACTGATGTTTCAAGCTAGCTAAAACAATGATTTTCCTGTATGGCCTAGCTAAGTTAGGCGTAACTGCCATGATACATGTTTCTTAGTTCTTCGAAACTTTGTAAACGAACCCCCAGCAATCACTGGGCATGTCCTCAGCTGCAGAGAAAGGTGAAGACTCTTTGGACATGCATATCCAATCGCCAGCTTTCTCCAGCTCTGTCATCATTTCTTGATAGTGTTCTAATTCCCCTTTCTTTATGTTGAAACAGAGGACGCCATCTACAAAGAAGTTCACATAGGAATTTAGTGTGTTTCTTGTAAGGTTTTATCATGGGAAATTTCCATCCTTTTTCCTATTTGTCCATGTATTTATTAGATTTAACTCACAGAGTTGGTTAACCCTTTCACTCCTTGGATCTCTTTTATGTCTGTCATATAATTCCTATGATGTTAGTTAGGAGAATTTGGTATTGGACTAACCAATAATACCCTAATTGACATATTCTTTTGTTTTCCAATTACTTGTCTGTAAGGAGAAATTCTGTCTCGGTCACTCATGGGAGTTAAAGGGTTAACCTACAAACTGTAATATCATCCAAAGAGAAGTTGAAGAGACTAGCTTGGGGGTGTGCTCTTGATACATCAAGAAATTCTTTAAACGAATTTGCAGAGAGAAGATTTGACCCCAGAAGAAGATTTACGGGTCAGATGCCGGATGTTTAGGGAATTTATCAAAAAGGGTGTTACGTGAGTCTTCACTACCAGATCTATCTCACGGTTTGAGTTTTCAAAAAACAAAAACAACCCAGCAAAAAACTTTTGATAGGATTT